TTAGTCTAATAGTAATATAATTTGTATTTGAGCACCGACAAGACTGTCAAAGAATTAAAAAAAAAAAAAAAAAAAATTAATTTGTTCTATAACACTACATATACACATATATACATATATTAGTAATATTAAATTGCTCAAGCAGTTTGGTTTATGCTCAAACAAACTGAACTAGTTTTTATAAACCAATTTATATAAGCATACTTATAAACAAATTATACAAGCATGCTTATACAAGTATGCTTTATATAAGCAAATTTATATAATAAAGATATTAAATTGCTCAAGCAGTTTAGTTTATACTTAAAGTATTTCTGCTTTGATGCTAAAACAAACTAAACTTGTTTTTATTTGAATCATTTAAAATGCAAATTCTAATAGAACTATAACCCAATATATGAAATATTAAAAAAACAATATACCAACATATTATTAACCTAAAATCTAAATTTTGAAAAAAAATCTCAATAATTATAATTCAAAAAAATTAAAATCTCATATGTATAAATATTATTTTGAATATAATAATCTTAAGTTTTATTAGTTATTTGCTTTAAGCTAATTTAAAGCATATTTGCTTTAAACAGGTTTAAAGATTAAAAGCATCTTTTAAGCAATATTTAAAAAATTTATAAGCAAACTGTAAAAGTTTGTGCTTTAAACCTGCTTGAGCAGGTTTTATATAAACATTTTAATATCCCTAGTATATATAGTATTGGTTAATCTGCAATTTTTGATGTCCAACTTAATTACAAGTATTTGACTATCAAATTTCAAATTTTTGTTTGATTGTGCCGAGCACTAATCCAATATCAAGTAAATTTGCAAGTTTATTTTGATAAAAGTTTTACTCTTTTGTGATAATACAATATTTTAATAAAATAATATAGACTCAAAGTTCTGTTAAAAATAAGTTGGTTTAAAGTATTGAAAGCTAGTTTTTCTGGATAATTAGCAAAATCGTTATCCAAATCTTTTTTGTAAAATTTAGTATATTAAATTAGTATATTTTCTTCATTCTCTTGGTATATATATAAAAACAAAAAACTATTGTTAATTCAAAGAATTGAAATAGTGATCTTTTACTTAAAATTTTCCTCTATAGATGTTAAACTTCTTGTTATGTTTATATTTGTAATTAATAAAGCATTTAGGTTTATACAGTATATGCAGGCATTACATGGACAATTGAACTTAAATTCAATAACATTTTATTTATCTTCTTTGATAGTCCAAAATCTGCAATTTTTGGTATTCTTTGATGAATTAAAATGTTTTTTGATTGCTAATTATTAAAGTATTAATGAATTAATAAATATAAAGTTCAGTAAAATACATAACACTCACAAGGTCTCTATTAATAATATTATTATCATGTAAGAACAAAGTCCGAGTGTTATTTCCTTAGCAAAATGTAATTTATTTGCCCATTGTAATCTTGTAAATTTTCTTTTAAATATTCTCATCATCAGCATATATGGATATTGTTTGATACCTTCAAAATTAGAAATTGCTTATTTACTTTTCGTAACTCCATAGAGTCTAATAATATTTTGATCAATTCTTCATAATAAGTATACAATATACAGTATCATTTGTTACACAAGAGTTGCTGCAAAAAGGACTTTATTTAATATTAATATCGTTACAATATTATTTATTAACACAAACATTCAATCTTGTAATGCATTAAGGAAAGGTTTTGTTGTTCCATCCACATCTATGTTCACCAGGGTCTTTAAGGAAGATATAGCCACGGTTAGGTGGGATATTCAATTTCTCTTCGATAAAGCACGAAAATTCTTTCGACATTGTCGTGTTGTTTGATAAATCAGAAAAGCTATTTCTCGAAAAAATGTTAACACAAAACGTGGGATCTGACGTTCCAGCAAACGTCATTGGCACCTCGTCTTCAAGAATGATTTGCATGTATTCTTTGGGCTTTTTAAGAATTTCAGCACCTTTATCAGTGAGAGCTTGAAGGAAGGTTAGTTTGTCAGCTACCTATAATAAGTAAAAGGATGGTCGGATATCAGTGTCGGCATCTCAGTGTGTTCAATTAATTTGGTTTGAGCAGAGCAAGAAATGCGTCATACCTTCACATTCGTTTTCACTTCGACAGATGGCATATTGTCGTTAATTGATGAATTGTGAAATTGTTGAAGATACCGACTTTAAAAGGTCAGGCTTTTTTATAATTTTTTTTCTAGATCAGATCTGTCTGTCATTGGTAAAATTTACTCTCACGCCTCAATAACAATAACAGATAGTGATAAGTTAAAAATTTATCATAATCATTTAAACTTATTACAATAATAAATCCGAATACAGAAATTTTGAATTATAAATTACAGAATTACATTAGAATCAAAATCCCAAGACCCTTTACCTGATTTGGAGCCAATTAAACCAAAAAACTAAAGTATGCAAGTTGGAACATTCTAAGGAAAATTAGATTCTGTTCCCGGTTCATGGAAGAACTTTCATCTGATTGGTTGATGCAAATTAATTGCCCGGGTAACTTATTTATACGCTTTAAAGTACTTTTTGAGAATGTAAACGAACATATCCAAAAAATAGTGATATTATTCTGTTTGTCTGAATAATGTTCCTAGTGCACCCACAAAAAATCGAGATTTTACCAATAACTATATCGCGGTTTTATTGCATGTATCTTTATTTACATGCAACCAGAGCCAGTGGATTTTAGTAGCATCTAAAATAGCGCTATTTTTTAGCAAAATAGCTAGCAACATTGTTTGTGCTAAGATGCGAAATTTGCTAAGCATGCGACTATTCCTTTTGTTCTTAAACTGATTTATATAAACGTGCAATTATATGCATGTTGTAAATGATGATAGATTAAGAACTCATCGAAGAACATACGACTACATTAAAATTTATAATTGACAAATATAAATTTTGTAATAAGCTATTTTGCTAAATTTGCAAAATTTACTAGCTAATTTTGCTAGCTAGTTTTGCTTTTAACGACCACTGGCTCTGCATGCAACGTATTTTCTTTGAAAAAGCAGTTTTTTGAAAACGGTACGTCTGATTTTGATTTGATTTAAGAACAATTTTTTGATCTATAATGGTCATTTGTTTAAAATCAATAATAAATTCAACTTCATAATACTACCTCAATTCATTGTTTATCATGTATATTTTACTGTATAAACATTTCATTCAAGATAATATTGACTTATCAATAAAATTTTGCTCACGTTACAGTTGGTAAATTTATTAACATTCAGTTTAAAATTACTTACCTCTCAATTTATTATTTATTATAGTTACTTCCGAAAATTTTAATAAATCAATCTAATTTTTTTTTTTAAGGTATAGTGTGTCGCTCATTTCCCGAAAGTTATTTCCTCGACAGGACACTTACAGTTAGGGTTAGTATTTGATTAGTTGCAGCTATATATTTTTAGCAGATTGTCACCCTGTGTGATGTCGGATAAGTGAAATAACCTTCGGGGATCGTACCGTAACTTAATTTGAAAGCAGGTGATTTTTGTTTTATATTCTAAATTTTAAAAATTGATTAGCACCCTCTCGAACTGGCAATTTACTATTTAATTTGACTAAAGTAATGTTAGGCGGGCACTTAACAAGGAGATACTATTGGCCGAAAATTAAGGTATTGTCCAGTGTCTATTTTTCTTTAATCCATTGCTTTTTACTAGATCTGCAAAATACTTGCCGCGAAATCAAAGACATTGTTTTCTTCAAAAAAAAAAAAAATTCAAATTATTATTAAGCGAAAGTTTATACACTTTCGAAATTCTTTCTTGTAGTAAAAAATAAAAATCGAAATAATCTAAACAATCTAAACATTAACGAAAATAAGTGCTTCTAACACAACCAAGAAAATTTTATAAAGTCTTTTGTTCGGTACTTTATTCTCAAAAGAATAAAATTTTGCTGAGACTACGTTTACAGGCTTATAATTTTAATTAATTTCGGAATGGCCCATGATATCACCTTAACTATAAGCATATGTAATGGACTTCGTTTCAAACTTGGATATTGTTAATGCACCTCAACTATTGAAACCATTAATTGCCAAGTGTTGGGATGATAATCCTTTATTTCGTCCAGAAGCCCATGAATTATTTCCTCTTTTTAGAAAGTGGTATTATCGTTATGATCCGAATTCAGAACTTAACCAGCAATATCAACAAACGAATGTTGCAGGAGAATCATTAACATTAAGTAACCTAACTTATAAAACACATCCGCAAGACATTTATATCAGTCAAATGCATGATTTAAATTTAATTTCTGAAAAATTTAACGTTGAAGATAATGAGTAAATCATTATGTAAAAGATATTATTAATATACCAGAAGTTTGAAGAAAATATATTATTTTAATAAAAATTAAAATTTCGCTTATAATTGCCATTATCAAATTTTTAAGCTCTATTTTATTTCATTTATTAATGTTTATAACCTTCAATTCTCATTAGAGTGATTTATAATTATCTTATTTCGAAAATAAGTAGGATACAAAATGTCTTATTCTATTTTGAAATTTTGAAATCAGAAAATAAAATAGGAATTATCCGGAGATAACCAAAATCCGTTTCAAAATTCCTTAATTATATTCTGGCCGCAATTTTACTTTTGTTTAAAAAATAATTAACATGAACATTTGAAAT